TGCTGCTGCTGCTGCTGCTGCAGGGCTTTGTGTTTGGTGGAGCAGCACATCGCCAGGGATTTGCTGCCGCTTAAAGAGCTTCACAGGCGGCTGTGGGGTGCGCCTGCATGCACTGCAGCAGCAGCAGCAGCAGCAGCAGCAGCAGCAGCAGCAGGAGGAGGAACGACAGCAACTGCAGCAGCAGCAGCAAGTCAAGAAGCAAATGGAACGACAGCAACAGGTAGGTGCAGCTGCGTGGCTCATTGGTGCTGCTGTTCGCGCTGCTGCTGCTGGTGCTGCTGCACTTGCTGCTGCTGCTACAGTTACTGCTGCTGCTGCAATTGCTGCTGCTGCTGCTGCTGCACTTGATGCTGCTGCTGCTGCTTGCTGCTGCTGCTGTGTATTTTATATTTTCTATGCTTGTTTCACTACAATGGCTCTTCTTTATTTTTGCTGCTGTTGCTGTTGCTGTTGCTGCTGCTATTCCTGCTGCCGTTGCCGTTGCTGCTGCTGCTGCTGCTGCTGTTGCTGCTGCTGCTGCAGCAGACAAGGGGTATGACGAAGCAGCAGTTCAGCTGCTGCTGCAGTCGTATAGGGGTCTGAAGGCTCGTGATTTGCTGCTGGCAGCAGTGGAGTGCTGCCGCGTTGCTGGGGTGTACAGACACCGCACCAAGTACCTACCAGCAGCAGCAGCAGCAGCAGCAGCAGCAGCGGGAGCAGGAGCAGAAGGAGCAGCAACAGGAGTTAATGGTGCTGCTGCTGCGGGTGCTGCTACAGCTGCTGCTGGTGCTGGAGCAGACGCGTACTCACAACAACAGCAGCAGCAACAGCAACAACAACAGCAGCAGCAGCAGCAGCAGCAGCAAGCTGTGCTGCAGCAGCTGCAGCAGCAGCTAGAAAGACAGCAGCAAGTGGCTCATATTGAAGGCTTCGCTTTAGAACTCTGCGGCAAATGGAGGAGAGCTGCTGCAGCATACAGCAGACGGTATTTATTTATTTTTGTGTCTTTGTCTTTGTCTTTATATTACTCTTTGTCTTTGTCTTTGTCTTTGTCTTTGTCTTTGTCTTTGTGTTTATATTATTGTTTGTCTTTGTCTTTGTGTTTATATTATTGTTTGTCTTTGTCTTTGTGTTTATATTTTTGTTTGTCTTTGTCTTTGTGTTTATATTTTTGTTTGTCTTTGTCTTTTATTTTGTTTTTTATTTTATTTTGTTTTTGTCTTCGTTTTTGTTATCCTCATGAAAAATTGTTTATTTATATATTTTTTATGTATTTTTTTATTTTTTTATTTTTTCTTTTTCTTTCTTTTGCTATGCTGCTCCTGCTGCTGCTGCTGCTGCTGCTGCTGCTGNCTGCTGCTGCTGCTGCTGCTGCTGCTGCTGTGCAGCAACTACAGCAATTCCTACTGCTACTGCAACTGCTGCTGTTGCTGCAACCGCTGCTGCTGCTGCAGCCTCTGCTGTTGCTGCTGCTACTGCTGCTGCTGCTGCTGCTACTGCTGCTGCTGCTACTGCTGCTGCTGCTACTGCTGCTACTGCTGCTGCTGCTGCTGCTGCTGCTGCACTTTCTGCTGCTGCTGTGTGTATGCTCCGTGCTGCTCTCAGTCTCCTTCAGATGCAAAGCAGCAGCAGCAGCAGCAGCAGCAGCAGCAGCAGCAGCAGCAGCAGCAGCGCGTTGCTGTCGTTTTGCAAGGCATCATTGTTAGCAGCAGCATCTCCTTCATCTCCCCCGAGTGTGCGAGCAGCAGCAGCAGCAGCAGCAGCAGCAGCAAACTCAGCAGCAGCAGCAGCAGCAGCAATCTGGTGTGGTCTCTTTCGATGCATGCGTAAGAGCGGGGGGGGTACTGCTGTGCTGCCGCAGCCTGAGGAGGTGCTGCGGCTGCTGCAGCAGCAGCAGCTGCAGCATCTGCTGCTGCTGCTGCCTCTCCCTGTCCCCCGACCCGTGCAGCAGCAGCAACAACAGCAGCAGCAACAGCAGCAGCAGCAGCAGCAGCAGCAGCAGCAGAGGATGCAGCAGCTAGTGCAGCAGTTTAGAGATTCTCTCTGTCGTGCTGCTGCTGCAGCAGGAGGAGCGTGGCAGTGGCAGCAGCGGCGGGAGCAGCAGCAGCTGCTGGATATAACTGAATCTGCTGCTGCTGCTGCTGCTGCTGCTGCTGCTGCGGGTCCTGCTGCTGATGGTGGTGATGCAGATATAGCTGCTGCAGCAACAGAAGCAGAGCTGCAGCAGCAACGGGGTTTGTGGGCCGAAGCAGCAGCAGCTTGCTGCAGCCTGAGCAAGTGGGATGCTTTGCCAGGGTTGCTGCAGTCTGCTGCTGCTGCTGCTGCTGCTGCTGCTGCACCTTCTGCTGCTGCTGCTGCTGCTGCTGTACCTGCAACAGCAGCAGCAGACAGCTGCACAGCGCTGCTGCCTCAGGCAGAAGCAACAGAAAGCAACTTCCTGCTGCAGCACGCGCGTTTGCTGCTGCTGCTGCGGGATGTGGTGCAGCAGCAGCAGCAGCAGCAGCAGCAGCAGCAGCAGCAGCAGCAAGGCTGCATAGGCTGCATAGTGGGGGGGGAGCTCAGGGAAGCAACAGCAAAATATACAAATCAGCTTGCTGCTGCAGCAAAGGATTCTGCTGCTAGAGCTGCTGCTTATCTCTCTCACCTACACATATACGCAGACCTTGAGGTGCTGCTGCTGCTGCTGCTGCTGTTGCTGCTTTTGCTGCTGCTGCTGCTTTTGCTGATGTTGCTGCTGTTGGTGCTGTTGTTGTGCTCCTGCTGCTGCTGCTGTCCGTGGTGATGCTGCTCTCCGGGGTCGTTGTTGGCGTTGCTGCTGCTGCTGCTTTGCTGCCGCCGACGCTGTTGCTGCTTCTGCTGCTGCTGCACCTTCTGCTGCTGCACCTTCTGCTGCCGCAACTGCTGCTGCTGCTGCTGCTGCAACTGCTGCTGCTGCTGCTGCTGCTGCATATGTCTGATGCGCAGATCATCTGCAGCAGGGTGGGGATACTGCTGTGGCCTGGGCCCACCGACACCTACTGCAGCAGCAGCAGCAGCAGCAGCAGCAGCAGCAGCAGCAGCAGCGGGGGTTGCTGCAGCAGATGCGGTGTACGTGCAGCTTGGAGCTGTCTTTCTGTGTCTCAGCAGCTATCTCTTGCTGCTCTGCTTATTGATAGAGCGATCCCGACAGCAGCAGCAGCAGCAGCTGCTGCTGCTGCTGCAGCAGGAGCAGCAGGAGGAGGTGCAGCAGCAGCAGCAACAACAACAACAGCAGCAGAAGCAAACGCAAGAACAGCTGAGCAGCTAGCAGCAGCAAAACTTGCATTAGAATCACTGCAGCAGCACGTTGCTGCTGCTGCTGTCGGCCTCGCGCTGCAGCAGAGCTGCTGCGGTGTATGCACACCAGGAGACGTGCGTGCAGCTCACTATAAACAAGTTGAATCCTTTCTGCTGCTGCAGCAGCAGCAGCAGCAGCAACAGCAGCAGCAGCTGCTGCTGCTGCAGGGGAAGCAACGCAAGTGTTTGTCTTTGTTAGAGTCTATATCAGACACATCTTTT